ACAACCCCCCTAGGCAATTGATTCCAGCGTTTCACCAACCAGACAGGCAGGAAGTTTTTCCTAATGTCCAACCTCAACCTCCCCTGCTGAAGTTTAGGCCCATTGCTCCTTGTCCTGTCCCAGAGGGCAAAGGGAACAATTTTCCTCCCTCTTCCTGTGACACCCAAAAACCGCTCTCAGGCCCTGCTCAGTCGACTCTTTTCCAAACTAAACAAGTCCAGTTCTTTCCGTCTTCTCTCCTAGCTCGTGTTTTCTAGACCTTGAATGGGTTTTGTTGCTCTTCTCTGGACCGTCTCCAAATCTTGCCTGAAATGCGGTGCCCAGAACTGGACACAAGACTCCAACTGAGTCCTAATCAGCGCAGAGCAGAGCGGAAGAATGACTTGTCAGATCTTGCTCACCACACCCCTGCTAATGCTCCTAATGTATCAATTGCGGCCAGAACGCGCCCCTGACGTCCGCGCAGGCTGCCGGAGGAAAGAGCAGCAGAACGAATGCTGCGACCAAGCTAGGATCAAGGTCTCAGGGCTCCCGCGCAGGCCTCGGGACACCCTGAGAAAAGATCCCGTGGAGAGGGCAAAGCCCTGGGACACCTCCTCCTCCTGCGACCCGGGGGCCAGGGCCTGTAGAGCAGCACAGGGCTTGGGGGTCTCTCGGGCGCTTCCCTTTGCAGAGCTGTTAGGGCGCCGGTGGTGGTGGGGATCTGGCCGTGGAATTCCTGGGTTGCAGCTCAGCACCTCGCGCTGCAGCCAGACGACCAAGCAAGAGTCCTCCAGGGCCACGCCACCGCCAACCCGAGCGCAGGTGCGGCCGCAGGGTCTGGCCTCCGCCCTCCTGGCAGCGCCTGGGTGGATTTGGCCGGTGCGCTGCCGGGCTGCCGGGGAGAAGGGCCGTTGCGGGGGGACAGCTGCCGAATGCAGAACCTCTGTGTGTTGGCCCCCAGACGGCGTCGCCCGCCTTGCACTGAACAGTGTCCTGCCAGAGGTGAAGCCGTGAAACCAGCTGCTGGGAGAGGGTTGCGAAAGCTCCATCGCTGGAGATTTTTAAGCGCATGTGGGACACGCCCCAGTCGGGGGCGGGGAGGGGACCGGACCAGATGACCCAGCAGGGTCCCTCCAGGCCTGTCCGTCTGTGATTCTGAGCCCTGAGCCGGGGGGCTGTAGCTGTGGTGCGTCCATCTGTACTCCCTGACTGATGAGCGCGCACACGCACAGCGCACAGCTCTTCTCAGGACAATCCAGCTGTGCTCCCTGACCGATGAGCGCGCACGCACAGCGCACAGCTCTTCTCAGGACACTTGTGCGCACACTGACACTTGTTTCCCAGGAAGGATTGTGCCTTTTGAAAAGCGACGGGTCAAACATTTGCAGCTACAATAACAACCAGAAAACCACAGCACCATTGGGCTGGGCGAGTTTCAGCTCCATTGGGTTAGTTAAGTCCAATGTTCCCGCTAATGTTTCCATTCATGTGCGGAATAAATTTTGTTCTGTGCACCTAGGCATGTGGGGATGTGCACCACCAGTAGAAACACACGCTGCTGACTGCTTCTGGCTGTGGGCACTCTGCTACTCAACTGGGCAGCATTTGAATCTCCTGCCCAAGCGCTCAGCTTAGCGGGAACCCTGGTCAAGTCCCTTCTGCACCTCAAACCCGAGGCGGAGGCTGCTTTCATTTTAATAGAGCTGGATCCCGAATCTTCCTTTGGTCCTGCTGATTTTTCTGTGTGCAGGAGATAGCAGCAGAGGGTGGCTGAAAGGGATCGGCCTGGCTTGGAAGGAAACCACAGGCTCCTTGGAAGCATGGCCGGAGGGTTTGCTTTGGGCCCCTTCGATTGGCTTGCAGATCCGGGTTTTCCCAAGCCGTAGCTCTTGCGGGGCGCGTCGGGAAGGAAGCTCCCGGATCACCGATGCTGTGCCCATCGTATCGGGAGCCTGCGGGGACGGGGAGTCACTCGTGGGGTTCTTGTGGGCGGGCTGTGAGGGAAGTGGGACTTGCACAGCTCAGAAGGAGGCTGGCTGCCCCTGGCGCTGTTTCCTGCATCCCCATGCCCGCCCTTGGAGGAGAATGGCCCCCTTGTCCGGTAGGACGGGGCTGGGGTGGGCGGTCGCGCTCTCGGGGGGGGGGGGGCCAACCCGGCACTGGCCCCTCCAGGGAGTCGGGGTGGCGTGGGCCACAGCTGGCCTGTTGCTGAGCTCTGTGTTCTGGCCTGGGGGAGCTCTGTCGTGGGCTGGGGTCTCCCACCTCATGCAGGGCTTGGGAGGGAAGGTCTGGAAGTGCTGGGTGCCTGGGTTGCCAGAGCCGTGTTCCCTCTAATCTTTTCTCATCCACCAACCCGGCACTGGCCCCTCCAGGGAGTCGGGGTGGCGTGGGCCACAGCTGGCCTGTTGCTGAGCTCTGTGTTCTGGCCTGGGGGAGCTCTGTCGTGGGCTGGGGTCTCCCACCTCATGCAGGGCTTGGGAGGGAAGGTCTGGAAGTGCTGGGTGCCTGGGTTGCCAGAGCCGTGTTCCCTCTAATCTTTTCTCATCCATGTGCGGAATAAAATTTTCTGTGTGCACCAAGACAAGTGTGTATGTGCACCACCAATAGAAAGGAAAACCTGTCTGGGGGCGCTCTGCTAATGAGTGAGGTGGCATTTGAATCTCTCCTGAATCTCCTGAGCGGCCGCACAAGCGCCCAGCGCACAGGGAGCGCTGCCGGAGGGCTGGTTGGAACGTCTCCCCGCACAGAGATTAGTGGCCGTAGAGTCCGAGGGGTTTTTCAGAAACCTCTCCAGCTTGGTGAGGGCCAAGTAGGGCCAGGGATCCAACCGAAACCTCCCTGCTTTCTTGCTGGCTCACCGGGGGATGGCAGGTCCACCGCTCGGGGCAGCCCCGCCGGATGCACTGCCCAAAGCTGGGGACTCCCGGCCTCCCCGGTGCACGGCTCGGGGCAGCCCCACTGTGCCTGTCACTGCAAGCTCTCTGGGGCAGGGACTTGCCCTGTGTTTATCTGACACCTCGCACAACGTAGGGGGCCTCTGGAAAACCTTTTGCAAAGCGCGTTGACGAAAAGCCGCCTGTTGCTCTAACCCTCATTCATCTGGAGCCAAAGGTGCGTTTTCCCCTAAGCTGGGTGTGCCGGGGGGTCGGACGCACTGCCAGATGCAGGCAGAGCTACGAATCACTCGCCCGAGCGCGTCACCAGGGCGATGGCGGCTGTTCCAAGGCCTGCTGGGTATCTCCTCGCCTTCTCTTCCCCTGCCCCCAGCAACCATTTAGATGCTTCGCGAGGCTGAAATGGTTGCATAGAAAAGTTGAACCCACTAGGACAATGAGCCGAAGTGCCAGAGCTTTGGAGCTCTGTTCCAAAGTCCCGGGGAATGTGCTTTTATTGTAGGTTTCCCCTCCCGAAATGTCAGTGTTCTCGGAGTCCCTCGCAAAGATTACTGCCTGTAGAGGGTCACGTTTTCGGCTTCCAGCTTTCCTTTGTTTCTCGTGAGCGGGGATTTGACTAATGCCTTTCTTCGGATGAAAAGGGTTAGTGGGTTTTGCTCCTGGCTTGTATTTTTCTCCAGACTACGAGAAAGGAGCACCCACTGGGCTGACAACCCCCCTCCTCCGCCCCCGCTCAGTTTTCAGAGTGCTCTGAAAGGTAGCAATTGCCTGTGTGAATAGAGCGGGGCCGTAGCTCGTCTCCCCAGGTAGGAGGTGTCGGGCTTGGGAACCGCACTGAGCAATGGTGGCTTTCGGCGTGTCGGTCGTGTGCGGGGCTGTGCTGAAAAGTTTGCAGAACCAGCGCCTCACATTCCATATCTTCGGCCTGGTCTGGAAGCTGCCTTACGTCGGTGTGTGTCTCACTGCCTGGTCCCAGAACTTCAGAACTAGGGTCACCACGAAGCGAAGAGGCAGCAGGTTTCAGACAAACCAATGGAAGTTTTTCTTCACTCAGCGCACAGCCAACCTGTGGAACTCCTTGCCACAGGATGCTGTGAAGACCAGGACTTGAACAGGGCTAAAAAGAGACCAAGATATATTCATAGAGGTTAGGTCCATCAATGGCTCTTGGCATCAGGAAATACAAGGAGATGGAGGTTGGGGGGCTCTGTAGTTGGGTACAGCCCCCATGCTAGGCCTGCCCCACCCTGCCCCTCTCCCCTATGCCCAGAGCTTTGCCACGGGGCCAGCAGGAGGCGGCAGCAGACGGGAGGAAGAGAGAGGCTGCCCCGTGCCACTGTCTGGTGATTCGGGGGGCTGTGGGTCCACGGGGTGTGGACATGGGTGACCCCAGGCTCCTGGGGGCAGGGAGGGGGACCAGGCAGGTTTGGGAAAGGCAGAAGGAGGTGGGTCTGTTTGTAGCACCCCGCTCATGGGAGGCGCTGGGGGGGATGGGCTGCGCCTGCCCAGCCACTAGAGGGAGGCTTCCTGGGCCCGGCTGCAGGGCACCCTGCAGAGCTTCTCCCTCCCCGCAGCCCGGTGTCGCTGCAGAGCTCCTGCGCTCTGGGGCGGGTGGCGCTGAGCTTGGCTGGGGGCAGTCTGAGAGCAGGCAGGGGGACCTGTAGCCTCTGCACCCCCAGCTCCTTCCCCGTGCTGCTGCCTAGAGAGCGCCCCTGGCTCGCCAAGCGCTGTACTAGAGACCTGGCATCTCCAGCCCCGTTTCATAGCTGGGGAAACTGAGGCACCGGGTGACTTGGGAAAGTCCCTTCAGCGATCCAGTGGTAGAGCCCAGGTCTGCTGAGCTCCCAGGCCATGCTCTACCCACTGGGCAGCACTGCCTCCCAGTTCCCGCTTGCCTGCCCCAGGCCCGGCGGCCCCCACATGGGGAAAGGCACCATAGCGTGAGGGCCACAACGCCCTGTCGCACGGCGGGCAAGGTACGCATGGAGGGGGACATCCAGAGGGGGCCCTACCGGGACCAACGGCAAAGTCCGGAGTAACCAGGTCTCGGCTCTAACCCCTGCGTGACGCTGCCTCCCGGGGGCTTGGCTACTGACTCTTTGTTTTGTTTCCCTCTGCTTGCAGGCTACAGCGTGAAGTGCGAGTACACCGCGCACAAGGAGGGGGTCCTGAGAGAGGAGATGCAGCTGTCCAGCGAGACCCACGACGGGGCCTGCGTCAAAGTGGTCGTCCAAGCCCGGGTCATGGGTAGGTATCACGGGGCCCCGCGAGTGACCGCGGCCTGGCCAGGGGTCCTCAGCAGAGCCAGAGATCGGCCGGGGCCCCCGTGCAGGAGACTATATGAAAAGCCTTGCTAAAGTCGAGGTCTATCACATCCACCGACTTCCCCACGGCCACAGAGCCAGTCACCTCAGCACAGAAGCTAATCAGGTTGGTCAGGCACCACTTGCCCTTGGAGAATCCATGTGACTATTCCTGGTCACTTTCCCCTCTTCCAAGTGCTTCAATATGGATTCCTCGAGGATCCCTCCATGATTTTTCCGGGGACCGAGGTGAGGCTGACTGGTCCGTAGTTCCCTGGCTCGTCCTTCTTCCCTTTTTTGAAGATGGGCCCTACATTTGCCTTTTTCCAGTCATCTGGGATTTCTCCCGATCTCCACGAGTTTTCAAAGCTAATGGCCAAAGGCTCCTCAATGACATTTGCCAACTCCCTCAGCACCCTCGGGTGCATTAAATCCGGGCCCATAGATTTGTGTACGTTTAGCTTTTCTAAATAGTTCCTGACCTGTTCTTTCCCCACCGAGGGCTGCCCCCCTCCTTCCCATACTGCGTTTAGTGCGTTTGTCTGGGAGCCCACCTTGTCCGTGAATACAGAGGCAAAGAAAGCATCGAGTCCTTCAGCTTTCCCCATGTGACGGCGCGTTGGGGTCCCTGCACCCCCGGAATGGCACGAACAGACTCCCCCAGCCGGTAGAACAGAGGTGGTTTATTGCTTCTCCAGGATACAGCACAGCACAGATGTCATCAGGCTACAGGGCAGGCCTAGGATGCCTCAGCCCCCCTTGATATGGGGAAGGGGTCTCAGCTTCTAAACCCCCCAGCCTGTAGTTGAGGCTGCTTCCTCCATGCTCCCAGACAGAAACTAACTCCCTCTCCTCCAGCCCTGCCCCCCAGCCAGGGCAGCATCCACCTTCCTTTGTTTCTCCCCATGGGGGGTGGCTGGTCCGACCAGTTTGGAGCCCCCTTTGCAGAATGACTCCCCCTTTCCCTGCTGGGTCTTGCTCCAGACAGCAGAGGTCGCCCACAGCCCTAGCAAGGTACCCCCACTGCGTCACACCCCACATCATCTGTCACTAGGGTACCTCCCTCGTCCAGTAAGGGCCCCTCGCCCTCCCAGATCACCCTTCTTGCTAACAGGCCTGTAGAAACCTTTCTTGTTCCCCTTCACATCCCTTGCCAGCTGCAATTCCAATTGTGTTTTTGCCTTCCCGATGGCTCCCCTGCATTCTCGAGCAGTATGCTGTTGCTGTGCGCACCGGCCTCCTGAGCCGGGCACGGGATGGAAATGCTTTTGGCCAGTCATACGGGGGCCTTTCTGTGTCCCCCCCCGCCCCACATGGGCCCTTGGAGCAGGGGAAACTGCCCGGCCCGACTGTGCTGCCCAAGCTGAGCCATGTGCCGAAATAAATGAAGGTGTCAGACTTAGGCACGGCTCCCCGCCCCCACACTGCCCCGATGCGGCTGACGCACGTGCCAACGGGCTTGCTGCACGGGGCCGGGCGTTTAAAAGCGTCTCCCCGAGGTTACCAGGCGCCAAGCTGCTAGCACCAGAGCGTGTTTGACCCGGCAGCGCCTCTTGAATTCCCGAGGAGGTTTCAGCCCCGCTGCAGGTTATGGGGTTTCACCCCTGCCCCAGCGGCGCCACCGCCCCCGGTAACAGGCTGACGCACGTGCCAACGGGCTTGCTGCACGGGGCCGGGCGTTTAAAAGCGTCTCCCCGAGGTTACCAGGCGCCAAGCTGCTAGCACCAGAGCGTGTTTGACCCGGCAGCGCCTCTTGAATTCCCGAGGAGGTTTCAGCCCCGCTGCAGGTTATGGGGTTTCACCCCTGCCCCAGCGGCGCCACCGCCCCCGGTAACACTCGGTGGCTTGGAAGGGCTGGATCTGCAACACGGGGAGGCAGCGCCAGGCTTGCTGGGGCGCCCGGGCGATTTCGATCTGCAGGGAGGAGAGCTGTGCGGCCGGTTTCAGGGGAAACAGCTGGTTTCCAGCGCAGACGCAGGCCTGCCATGCGCCGTGCCGCGAGGAGACCCGCAGGGGCGTTCCACAGGCCACGACGTCTCTGCCATTCGCCGACACGCGCAGAGGGGGCAGCTGCAGTGGGACTGGCCGCGCGTTGTGCTGGAACTGATGGAGATGGACCGGGCTGCTTCAAATCGCCTCCGCCAGCCTCTCAAAGAGCTGAGCTAGCAGCACTTGTGAGGCCAAAGCCAGCAGCGACTTCAGGGAAGGTGAGGATTTCCCTGAGGGGTCAGCAGGCACCCGGGCGCTATCACGACAAGCCCATGGGCATCTGATTGAACTGGTGTGAATCCGGAGTGACTCCGGAGTGGCAGGCTAGGTTTACACCACAGTGACAGAGGTCAGCCAGCAGAGACTTCAGTGAAGGTGAGGATTTCCCTGAGGGGTCAGCAGGCACCCGGGCGCTATCACGACAAGCCCATGGGCATCTGATTGAACTGGTGTGAATCCGGAGTGACTCCGGAGTGGCATGTTGTGTTTACACCACAGTGACAGAGGTCAGCCAGCAGAGACTTCAGTGAAGGTGAGGATTTCCCTGAGGGGTCAGCAGGCACCCGGGCGCTATCACGACAAGCCCATGGGCATCTGATTGAACTGGTGTGAATCCGGAGTGACTCCAGAGTGGCAGGTTGTGTTTACACCACAGTGACAAAGGTCAGCCAGCAGTGACTTCGGTGAAGGTGCGGGTTGTACCTGTGGTGTAAGTAGGCCCCCAGGCGCTATCACGCCCAGCATGTTGGCATCTTGGTTGAACTGGTGTGAATCCGGAGTGACTCTGGAGTTGCAGGCTGTGTTGACACTGCAGTGATGGAAGCCAGCTCTGGCTCAAACAGAGGGAAAGGAGGTCACTCTGCATTCAGGGAGTGTGTGTCATGCGCCGAGGGAGTGGCAAGGGGTGGGAACCGGGGCCAGGTGGTCTGGCCCTGGAGACCTGCTGCCTTGTCTCTCGGTTGCTTTTCTGGCACGTCCCCGTGGTGCGCGTGTGACTTCCATGTTGCCTCATCAACTCAGGAACAATCCCAGCAGCCTGTCGGCCCTGTGAGTCGCTCCCTGCACCGCACCCGGGGCTCGCCCAAGGAATCCCAAGCACCGAACCTGGCGCTAAAATACTCCAGACTGGTGTGAGCGGGGGCGATGGCGCGAGCCAGGCTTCAGAGAACCAGGAGTCAGACTTGGGGTTTGTCCGTGGCTCTGCCGCTGGTGCACTGGGTCAGTGGGAAACCAGCCCGTGCCTCAGTTTCCCCATCTGGAAGGCGGGGCGCGTACTTACCCGGTTGGCTTTTTGCGGCCAGACGAGGACTCGTTCAGCCATCCGTGCCCACCACAGCTACACGTTTCCTCTCCGGCTTGCGTGAGGCGCCCAGAGGCCAGGGGGATGGGCGTGCACGAGGAGGGGGGCGGGTAGTTAGTGTGAGGCGGGCTCCCTGCCCTAGCAGCCCCCTCCGATGGGGTCTCCTACCTGTCCCGGTTCTGTGCTGCCACCTGCTGGCTCTGTCCCAGATTCCCCTTTCAGTCTCCCTGGTGTAATTAGCGCTGCTCTCTCCTTAAGCTCGTTATCATGCAGCTGGGCGGCGTTGGCGCCGATCCAGTGCAATCGCTCCTTTCCCTCAGAGTCATTACCCAGCTTTGGAAGCATCCTATTAACGGCCCCATGCTGCTCCCACCCGCCTGCTGCTCCTGTGAAACTCCATGTGAGCCTCTGCGGCCCCCCAGCCTGTGGGGCAGACCCTGTCCAGGAGCCCCCAGGGCTGCTGGTGGTGGGACACTCTGCCCGGACCTGCTCTCTGCCGCGGTGCCTTTCCGGGGGCCGAGTGTCTGGCTCCAGCCCCGCGAAGGCTGGGGGCGTCTGGACCCTTGGCCGCGTTCTTCCCCTGGATTTGCAGCGCCTTGAGCGTCAGGGCTGCCTGCCTGGGCTGTAATGCTGCGGCAAAGGGACGTGCGGCTCGTTAGCATCAGAACATCAGAGCAGCCAGACAGGGTCAGACCAACCGTCCATCCAGCCCCGGGTCCTGTCTGCCCACAGGGGCCAACGCCGGGTGCCCCAGAAGGAAGGAACAGAACAGGGAATCCTCACGTGATCGCTCCCCTGTCGCCCATTTCCAGACAGAGGCCAGGGACCCCATTCCTACCCATCCTGGCTAATAGCCATTGATGGACCTAACCCCCATGAATCTACCCAGCTCTTTTTGGAACCCTGTTAAAGTGCTGGTCTTCACAACATCCTGTGGCAAGGAGTTCCACAGGTTGACTGTGCACTGAGTAAAGAAAAACTTCCTTTGGTTTGTTTGAATCCTGCTGCCTATTCATTTCATTTGGACCCCTAGTTCTTGTATTATGAGAACGAGTAAATCACGTTTCCTTATTCACTTTCTCCACATCAGTCATGATTGTATAGACCTCTGTCCTATCCCCCCTGAGTCTCCAGGAAGTGGCAGCAAGGTGGCTCTGGTTTGGGACCCCGGGGGCAAATCGCTGCCTGCTCGGCATGGCTCCTGAAGGAGATGACAAGGCTGTGGAGGGAGCCCTGCAAGGTCCTTCCCCAGCCTGCGAACCAGCCCAGCCAGGCTCTGCTCTGAGTCCCATCGGCTGCAGCGTCTCTGAGACCCGGCCCAAGGCGCCGGGCGAGTGGCATCGCAGCGGGAGGCCGTGGCCCCAGTCCAGCGCCAGCGTAGCGCGAAGCCGGGGCTCGGTGCAATCCGGGCTGAGCCAGGGGGAGGGTCCCTTGCAGAGGATCCAATATGGAGCCTCCTTTGCAGCCCCCGAGTCCATATCCGGCCTGTGGCCACATCGCGCAGGGCCCCAGAAATTCGTTTGCTCAGGCGCCTGCAAGCCAGTGGCTCCGGGGTTCATGAGCCACAGCGAGGTGAGGGGGCCGGGGGCTGCCATCTCCCAGCAGCCAGGCCCTCGCTCCGCAGATGGGAGCAGATCCCCAGGGAGGCAGGTTTC